GTATTAAAGTAGAAAATGGGAAGTTAGTATGGGATTAGTGGCATTTAAAATTCTGCTTTATAGGTAATGAAATTAATAGCAGGATTCTGAGAAATTCTGTAAGCTACAGAATCTATAATATACCGGGTGTTCAAATTAAAGCGTTACAGCTATATACCGCTTTTTATAAAACTTTTGGCTAAAATCGTTTTTTATAGCTAACCATAATATGGCCAACTTTTTTTTCGCGCAGCAACATTTTCAAGTAGCTGTTACTCAAAAAGTAAAAGTCCAATAAAAAAAATATTTCCCTCAAAAGTTTCTTATTTTTTTATGTACTTTAAGAATATGTAAGAAAAAAATGGGATTCCCATTTAAAAAAACAAAGTTCACCTCGATATGGCCATATTATGGTCAGCTATAAAAAAATGAATTTAGCCAAAATGTTTCCCCCAAAAAACTATAAAACTTTTGTCTGAAACTTTTTTCTAAAATGCATATTTTCTGCGGTATTTAACTGTAACACTTTAATTTGAACACCCGGTATAGAAATGTAATGAAATTGCGACAGATTTTGGCTTACAGATCTTATAGATTGTTTCAGAATCGACCCATAAGTCAAAAACAGGACCCCAATAATATTCTACATCGGTTTTAAACTTTTTTTTGTATCTTAGTATTGTTTATGAAAGCCTTAATTACTGAGTTATAGGTCCCTGAAAGGCCAGGCTTAATATATATATATTTATATAGGGTCAACAAACCTGAAAATTGAACGTCTCAATACTTTCAGTATTTCGTTCAAAATCAAATATTTTCCTTTGTGCTACGACTTTATTCGTGGGAGCCTCAATCCAGATAAGGTGGTAACCACGTATTTAACATTACTCGACTTTTAAATACCTCATTTGGAAGGGTTTTTAGTTATCTATTCAGTATTTTTGTATTTCTCTATTTTTTTTTTATAAAGAATCTTAATGTTTATATAGAACTTGATTTAACTTGCGCCAATAAATCAATGCATATGTAAACTTTCTTTTCTACTTAAAAAAAATCAATAGTTACTTTTTCAGGATGAGCTATCATATGACACGTATTTGGTTGCTATGGGTATCATTTATACAGAATGTCTCAATGTTCCATTAATAACACAGGGGAACAGCTGTTTTGGTGTCGAGGTTTTTTGAGCTGATTCTATATCAATTTGATGTCTTGAATTCAAATAACGTATTCATTTTTACCTATGAGCTCAGATTTTTAAGATATACAATTTTAGAGAAATATAAGTTACATTATTTTAACTCAAATCCGTAAGTGTAGTAAACAAAAGTAGATACGAAATTTTTATTTTAGTTATACAAAATACAATATTATGTCGTACTTACAAACAAAAAAAACATTGAAGAAATCAAATAGTCACTCAACACTTCGAAAGCTTCTTTTCCGCGACATTCTTGAATGTTTTTTTTAACAGTTCCTTTTTAAACACCAGCAGTAATCTGCCATCATGTGCATGTCCCATATTCCTTGGTAGCGGTCCTCCATAACTTTAATATCATGGTGAAATCTTTTACCTTGTTCTTCACTCATGTCTGTTAAATTTTCTGGACGGTCTAAGTGGTTGTGTAAATAGTTTATTTTAATACTCATATTGCATCCTAAGGATTTGAAAATATTAAGCATCTTGTTAACCATTTCAACATAGTTTTAAGCTTTATGTTTGACTGCAACAAATGATGTCCAAGCTTCTCGTTCAACTTGATTCATTGAATTTATGAAGGCAGGATCCTTAATTAATTGTCTTATTTGTGGGCCGTCAAATATCCCTGCTTTGAGTTTTTCTGTGCTCAACTGATGCATTTTTACCCCTATATATGCAAAACATGACCCATTATTATCAAGAGCCTCTACAGATTGCTTCATTAAGCCCAACTTTATATGTAACGGAGGAAGTAAGATTTTTTTCTTTCAACCAAAGTGTCGTTAATGACATTCTTTTCCCCAACGTCCATGTTTTCTCTTTGAGGCCAATCTTTTCTAACCCAGTGGTGTGTTTTGTCCCTACTATCCCAGAGGCACAAGAAACACGGATATTTCGTGTAACCACTTTGCTTCCCAAGAAGAAAGTTTGCCATTTTTAAGTCTACACAAATCATCCATTGATGTTCGTGATACTTTATCTTTTGCAAGACCAAAGCTTCGGTATTATATTCTTCTTTCAGTTTCGTTGAGTGAGCTAGTGGTATTGAACCATATTTATTCCCATTATGTAGAAGATAATTTTCTCTTGTACGGTAAAAGGTAATTTTGGTTCCTTGTTCCAATAATTTTTTGTCGTTCAACCTAGAAGCCAGTACTTCAGAAGCTTTTTTCGATAAATTGAGATCCCTGGTGAGATCATTTAATTCATTTTGATTGAAGCGTTGAGGAACTGATGACGTCTCCTCATAGTCACTGTTAGTTTCATTATTCATTAGCATCAGAACTCTTATTAGCATCAGAACAGCGATCAGAGGGAAAATATTTGTCATCAGAGATATCTGGTAGCTGGTGAAATGTTGGAATCGGTATTTCATCTGAGTGCGGGATAGGGCGTATTGCCGAGTCTACATTGGGATAATTCCACTTACTGCGGTTATTTCGATTGATTCATTTAGTATTTACTAAACAGAAATAACAATCATTGAAGTGGTTTTTTGGTTCTCTCCAAACCATTGGTACGCCGAATTTTAGACATTTTCTTTTCCCGGTAGTCCACTGCCGTAAATTCTCTGTACAAGTTTTACATACGAGATGCGTGGCCCACTTTTTGTCCTGATCACCAAGGTTAACTTCAAAATATCCAAGATACGCTCGCTTTACAACGTCAGTAATAATTTGTTGAATATCTAAAAAAGTAGAGCTGATAGAGAAAAACGGATTGCATGTACAATTTTAATATTGATTTCACAAAAAAATCTTTTTTGATGGGCTCATTATTGCAGGAAGGGATTCGTCTTTTTAATGCGTTGCCTAAAAATATAAAAGATGCCCCAACTTTAGGTAGTTTTAAAAATATGATTAGTAATTATCTAGGTTTAGGTAACCTATAGTTTTAAGTTTAAATCGTAAATATTTGTTTATAACTAGCTGAAAGCTAAATAAAGAATTTACTTACAAAAAAAAAGATTTAGCGTCCCAAATATAGTTAAAATCAGCTCTAAAATCCCAGGCACCAAAAAAGAAATATTTTTTGTTACCCTGTGTAATTATTTACATTTTAACAGCAGCCGTGACTGGCTTGGACACGGTCTGAATAGGTGACGAAACTCGAAAAGCTCGGGGCCGATTTAGACAGTGGAATGTTTTGGTAAAATATATGAGTTAAATGAATGAGAAGGAGTAGAGCATCCAAATGGTCGTACAATAAGCTTATGAGGCTGCAGTACCGCCGTGCGTACCCCATAGGAGGGAAAGGGAGGCTGAAACCTAAGCCTCATTGGAGAGAGAATGGATAAAAAAGACAATCGAATAATTTATGCTCTACTATATTTTTATTGATTAAAATATATATAGAAAAATACCAGGAAGCGTCATCCTGAAAAATTGTAATTTTAATAATGGATAAAAGTATTCAGCAGTTCGTATAGAGTTTTATTGTTTAGTTACTGAAAACAATAATAGATTCGAATAAATTATTATCGGGTATACACACAGGTAGTATTTATTATCTTTAAATGTTACACAACTGAAAAATGAACGCCTGTTTTAAATAATAAATAAATGCATGCCACAATCTACATGTGAATAAATGATTATATTTCGAATGCCATGAAATATTTACGTGCCAGTTGCATAATATATATTTTTTTGTTTACTTGCACAAAAGGTTTTTTAATTAACAGTAACCAATTTTACCTAATTATTGGAAACCTTTATTAGTTATTTAGATTATGATACTTTGCTACGACGTTAATAATACACATTGTCGCATATTTACATACAAAACAATATAAACATAAAGTCTCCAAAAGGCTGGGATCAAAATAAGACGATTTAACTTACGAATATTATCCAAAATCGAATGGTTACTTACTTATTCCTCATCTAGCTGTGGAAGGTCTAACAAGAAATATGTAACGAAAAATATCATACAAAATTAATATCACAGGAATACGTGAATATGTCTTTATTTTAAGTGGAAGACAAAATATGCTATTGCAGATAAAGATTAAATACGTGTTCATCTCTAACACTTTTTATTTTTTTTTCTTGAAAAAAATATAAAATCGTTAAAAAGACGTCTTTTTGAGCATTTTTTCCAACAAACTGATACAAATTTTGAAAAAGTTGAAAAAAAAAATTATAACTCAAATATTAAAAATAATATCAACTTGAAAATTTTAGCAAAAATCAAGTTCTATAAGGGAAAAAATGCCTTTAAATTTGAAAAATAATCTTAATAAAAATGGGGGGTTTAAGGGAGGTTGAAATAAAAAAAAATTATAACAAAAAAGAAAAATAATATCAACTTATTTTTAGCATAAATCAAACTCTATAAGGGGACAAAAACAATTGATTTAAAAAAAAAATTGTGAAAAAATGGGGATGTTAAGGGGGACTGAAATAAAAAATATTAAAAAAAAAAATCCTAACTTAGAAATAAAAAAACGATATTGAAATTGAAATCGTCAGGAAAAGAGGATGAAGCGTATTGTTTCTGATTTTTTTTTTTATTGAAGATGGGGGTTAAAGGGGTCTGTTAAAATGTGAAGCGTATAATATAGAATGCCAAGTATTATATATCTTCATTCTAGTTTACTAGACGTTTAAACCAAGATCCGTTAGAAAATTTGTTTGGTCTTATAAGACAGCAAAATAGTAATTGTGCTAATCCAACAGCCATTCAATTTCAAAGAACATTTAGAAAGTTGTTCTGAGTACAGCTACTCAATTCAGAAACTCAAAACTTCCTTTTTTGCTTTTTATATTATAAATAGTAAAATAGGTTTAGTTATTTATGTTTTTTCTTTTTGTTTCAGTGGCGGATCTTGGAAATGACAAGCGTCGAAAGACGAAGACTTCTATGTGCCATTCTCTTCCACTTCGTAGCGGCGGTGTGTGTTATTTGGTCGTTATTTGTTTTAATTGATAGAGCTGCCGAAGAAGTAAGGAAAGGACTGATCGGTAAACATCTAATAATATTTTCACTAAATCTTTAATTGATCGTCACTTTTCAGCTTGGCCGTTCTGGACTAAACTGGTGGTAGTATCCGTCGGGTCGACCGGAGGTGTTGTATTTATGTATATACAATGTAGACAGTACTTACATCTGTTTTCTAGATGGAAGGCGCACAATCGGTAAGTAGGTACTACTGAGTATAGCTCGTTTGATTATGTGACTTAATTAAGGTTCTGAATGGCACAATTTTGCTAAAGTCAATTGAAAAAAAAATTATATGGAGTAGTAAAAAAATATGACTGCTATATGCTATAATAGTGATGACAGTGACAGCAGACATAAAATTGGAGGTCATAGGTATTCACTAACATTTTATTTCTATTAGTTAGAAGATTGTTTAAACATTAAAAATCATTAGGTTACATACCTTTCCCTTTCAGTCCCACTTTTTTATTTTCAATATTACATTTAAAACAAACAAAAAATGAATAATATGGTTTAGAAATATATTTTTCAGAATACGTACAGTTTAAAAAATTTTGATTTTTGACATTGACAAGGGGGACGTGTATGTCCCACTAGTAATATTAAATGGGACATATACATCCCGGTATATAAAAAACTAGAAACAGTTTTTGAAATGTTTATTTTCAGGTGTGGTACGGTGTAAAACAATTTTTGCACAGGAGCAATTGGCACATCCTGCACAGAGTCGTTGTTCTTTTTTCTATTTTTTGTTGAGAATTCCTTGCACAACGTCGGCGAGTTTTGCCTTCAACTGGTAGATGCCCCCCAATATTTACCATATGTCTTGATTTTTTTGATAGTCTACCGTGCACTTTTGATTTTTCTTTACCAAAAGCAATCATCTCTTTCGGCATTACAAAATCTAGAAATGGTAATTTTTGTCTGTGAAGTTCATTATATATTATCCAGCTATTGACTGCGGCAACCATTAGTAACCTAAAAAAACTTTTTTCCACCATTTACCGGACTTGCGGTCCATGTCATATAAGCCTGACATTTGGTCAGCTAAATCCACTCCACCCATGAAATTATAAAATTCTATTGCTTCTGGACATTCTATATCTTTTCGTATACCATCTTTGCCTCTTCGTTGAACAACAGTCAAGTTTTTTTCGTGGTAGTACACTAAGCACTGTAACTTCTTTGGTGTCTTGCCATTGACACAAATGGTACCATACTTATTTCCAATAATTTCGGAGCCTCTTCTGTTTAATTTTTTTGTTATCTTTGGTATATTTTTTCTTTTTACCATAACCGTTCCAACTGATGGAAATGGAATGTTAGTCTACAGATGTAAAAAATCTGTCGAAACATAATACGACATCTGTTGACTTTATCGTACTGGCTTATTTGTATGCAACTCTTTCGCCAAGAGTTCCTTCTTGTTGCAGATCTTCCTTGCCAGCATAACTATTCATATTATAGGTATAACCATTACAAGAACCATATCTAACCCATATTTTGATTCCTCTTTTAGTGTGTTTCACTGGTAAATATTGCTTTAGTCCAGAACGGCCTTTAAATTTTACCATACTTTTGCTCTGCTCGACATTTTTAAAATGTCGACTTTAGACAGTTCACTAGTTCTTTCACATAATATGTTTTAGAGGTACCCTGCTTTTCTGGATCATTTACGTATAATTTAGATAATAACAATGTAAATCTATTTCTAGAAATACTATTTTTTATTAGTGTATTTCCTACTGAAGGATGTGTAGACCAATAATGTCTAAGACCTGGCAATCTGTTAACTCATTACTAGGGAAAATCCTAAAACAATTGCAATTTCGCGTACATCGGTTTTAGTAATGCGTTTCTTTTTCTAATATTGTCAGCCTTTTATTTGTACATTCAGAAATAAAGATGAATAAACTTGGAGGAAACAATTTTTTGTACACCTCAAATCGTGTCAAAGATCTTTCTCTAACTCACACGTATTTTTTGCAGGAATGCTGAACCTTGGTAGAAAGTCTTCAGAGAGGCTTTGACCACACAATAGCTTCACCTTGATTTTTATTGTTTTCTTGTATTTCTTGATTTTGATCTTCATTTTCTGTGCGATCATCGTTTCTACATTCTCTTTCACTATCTAAGATTCTCCGTCATCTTCACTTATTTCCCCATCCTCACCTGATTTGGAAGATTCGGTTTCATAATCTTTATCTCTATCATCATCTACATCTTCATCTTCAGAAAAATTTGCCCAATAATTTAATTCTTTTTCTGATAATGCCTTCTTCGACATACTGTAACAAAAAAAAACACTGGGTTTTATACGTCCCACTTGTAAATTGGTATATTTTTTACTTGGTTTTTGAAATAAATTTTACGAATAGATATTTTTATGTTTAAACTTAATTACCTGTTAATTTTTTTATGAAAGAACTGGAAATAATACAAACAACGCAAAAAGCTTCAAACACACCTAGCACGCTTGTAAACAAGTGAACAAATGACCGGTAAACAACAAGCCACGTTGCCAGAACTTTTCTATTTTCAAGAATATGCTTGAAGAATACCATTAATCAAATAACACATTAAAATTGGGTCATATTTATACCAATATTTTAAATTCTCGTCGGGACATATATAGCCCAAGAGGGTCGAAAGGGTTAAACTATTTGAAAACAATATTTTAGAAAAAGAACTAAAAACGTATAAGTATGTCAAAGTGACAAAAAAGTTGCACTAATATAGTCTATAGTAGGGCGTGTGCCAAATATTTTTATATCCCATCATTTAGACTGTTAATTTATAACCGCAACATTTTAAATATTTTTTTGTACGTGTTTTTCATGTTATTTAAATGGTACCTAAATATTGATAATAAAGTATCTTCATTTTCGTGACTCACTAGTCCAATTAAAATATTTTAAAAAGTATTTGTGCATTTTATAATAACCTTTGTTGACGATAATAAGACTGAGAAAAGTGCTATTAATATAATAGTATATTATTTATATATAAACATTAATTCATCTTTTAATAATTGAATAGTATTATAATAAATAAAAAATAAAGGGAAAACAAAAGGTAGTTTGTGTAATCGACTTGATTTAAATTGAGTTTAAAACTAGATTAAAGGTATACAGAGTGGAAAGTCTAACTGGAACAAATTCTGTAACTTGATAAATAAAGGTTTGTCGCAAAATTCCTGAAACACGTCAATTTTTATTTTCAATGGGGCATATTACAAAGAGATTTGTTTATCTTTTTAATTATCTAGGGCGTTGCAGACATTCCCAACTTTTTTTTTAAATAGAAGGGTAGGTTGATTAATTTTTTATTTGAAAGCTTTTCAATTACAAATACAATTAAATTTTTTTCTGTTATTTGTATAATCGGAAATAAGGAGTAATAAGGAAATATAACTTACTCTGTCGACAAACCTAGCTAGATACTTAGAGGTGCGCAGACGAGGAATAGAGAAAACAAATGTAAAGATAGAGATTGTATTGCTACTGAGCGGTACCTGCGGTACAGTGTCGTAGCATGAACGACCCAACTGGCCATCCAGTTGATTATTTGAGAGTATACTGAAAACTAGCATTTGTCTTTTGTAATATTAAAAGATAATAAACCAAACCAATAAATCCACAATTTATTATATTCAATTATAGTAACAACAGTTTTAAATCCAGCACTTGAGCAATGGAATTCGTGGAATTCCGACAGGTACCTACATTACCCCTTCACTTTTAATCCTTTTCGTAGAATATTAATTTGATTTAGACATTCTTAATTGCTATTTCAAAATGTTTAAGAATTTTTAGAAATGTAAATCAGCTTATTACTTTTATTGGAAATAATAAAACGACAGGGCAGGTATAAGGTCATTCACTGAATTTACATCCTTATCGGATTAAGAAACAGATGCACGACTGAGCCGGTCTACAGGATAATTTCGCATCAAGTAGTTGAGTAAAATAAGCGTAGTCCTCCGGTGGGTAGAGGGTGAATATATTTTAATTGTTAAATATCTATATAGTATGTTATTATGTTTATTAAAATTAAATTACTAAAGTAATACACGAAAAAATGAAAATATTTATAATTTTGTTTTGGACATTGTTTATGGTAATACCATTTTTCCCGAATACAATATACGCTTTATAGTCAGGAATTTCCGGAAATCCCCTTCTCAGGTATAAAATTAAGATTAAATGTTCTATTTTTGTACTGATGTTATAGGACTAATTGCGCTAAATTATTTAGTTCAGTTTTGGATTTCGAAGAGAACGTATGTCGAAACTGAAAATGCCGAAGCGCGTGTTACGTGTAGATGACTTAATTTGTAATCTACATAAGTATTTTACGGCGGAAAAAGATAACGGAGGACCTTTAAAGCCAGTAGTGAGTGTGCATGAACGCGTCTGTACAGCTCTCGGTAAAATATGTTTTGAAAAACGTCAAAAGCGTAGAGAGCAAAAAAAAAAAAAGAAAAAATACACACCTCGCAAAAAACTGAAAAAGTCGGATATATCTGGTGGGACAAAATTTTCTATTCGTGATATGGTGTATGAAATGCGTGCGAAATAGGAACATATCAACTTAGACACATTGCTCTGGCTAACTTAAGAGAAATACAAATTGGTGAATTTGGCAGAACAAGTCTTTGGAAGTTGCTTAAGGAAATTGGTTTCAAATTTAGGAAAGAAGATAATAGAAAAGCTTTATGTGAAAAAAATAATGTTGTTCACAAAAGAATACATTTTTTAAGAGAATTCACTCGTTTAAAAGAGAATGTTTATATATTTGGATGAAATCTGGATATTTTCCAAAGGAAAAAAAGAATATGGCAAGATGAAAATATAAAATCAATAAAACATACTAATGGCGAGAGAAAGCGAAACATAATCTTGCACGCAGGTGGAAAGAATGGACTTGTGGTGCAGGATTAATATTTACCTCTAAATCAAAATCAGAAGACTACCACGATAACATGAATTCGGACATGTTTATCAAATGGTTAAATGAAAAACTATTACCAAATTTAAGTGAACTGTCTGTTATAGTGTTAGATAATGCGAGCTATAACACATAACTTTTAAACAAACCGCCAAGACAGATTTGGACTGTAGCCAAAATACAAGAATGGCTACGTAACGAAAATGTTGCATTTCCACAATACGTCCTTAAATCTGAGTTGTTAACTGTAGCCAAACGGCATGAACCACCACAAATTTATATGGTAGATCAAGTCATACATAGTTATGGACATGATGTGTTACGGTTTCCACCGTACCATTGTCAGTTTAACCCCATCGAACACATTTGGGGTATATGAAAAACGTATTATGACAATCATATTGTAATTAATGGTTACAGCGACGAAGCAGTAAGGGAAATATGGAAACAAGCACTGGATACATCAAGCCCAGAAATTTGGCAAAAAAGTGTTCAAAAATGTGATAAATTAATTGACGACTGGTGGACACGTGAAAACAGGATAAACAAAATTAACTCTATAATTATTCCTTAATGATGACAGCGACGCTAGTGACACAAATTTTGAGAGTGATGCTGAAGGTTTATAGGTATGTCAAAAGACAATTATTTATAATAATCACTATTTTATATAGAATTTTAAAAGTTATGTTATTTGAAAATGTAAAATATTTTTGGACATTTATTAATAGCCTAAAACGTACAGAACATATGCCGTCTATCATGAAATACAACAATGATACTTTAAAAACACCTTCATCTATCGCTGATACTTTGCACTACATTTTAGTCTTGCTACAGTAACCACAGCACTCTTGACTTAAATCACTTGGAATCAGTCAAATTTGGTTCCCATCTCTCATTTCACATCTTTAAAGAAGATGAAATAAAGAAGAAAATGTTGGATCTCGATCCTTCCAAAGGTTCTGGTCCAGATGGAATACCACCTATCCTTCTCAAGAAGTGCCCTGCTTTATCTGCACCATTGTTCACAATTTTCCAGAGATCATTCGACAGAGGATATGTCCCGTCCAGATGGAAATATTCTAACTTGGTTCCAATTTTTAAGTCCGGGGATAAATCTGACATAAAAAATTATCGAGGCATTTCTATGCTATCAGCAATTCCTAAGCTGTTGGAATCAATCTTAACAGATGAATTAGTTTACACATTTAAGAATTACATAATAGATGAGCAGCATGGCTTCTACAGAGGCCGTTCAACAACTACTAATCTGGCTATTTATCAGGAGTTTATTACCTCTTCGGTTGAAACTGGTTACCAAGTTGATACAATTAACACCGACCTCTCTAAGGCGTTCGATAGTGTATATCAGCAGTTACTTTTAAAGAAACTATCTGAAATTGGGATAACAGGCAATTACCTTAAGTGGATTAAATCCTATCTTATTAACCGTCGGCAGCGTGTTACAGTGAATGGTTCTGTGTCGCGGGAAGTGACAGTGTCTTCGGGTGTACTCCAGGGTTCACATATTGGCCCTATTTTATTTTTGTTATTTATAAATGATGTAGTGTCCTGTTTTAAAAATTCTCATTGTCTCTTATATGCTGACGATTTAAAATTTTTTAATATTGTGGAACCTAATTATAACGCCCTACAGTCAGATTTAGATCAATTTGTCTCTTGGTGCAGTTCTAACTATTTTAGAACTAAACATATCAAAATGTAAAGTTATATCATTTTACAGACGTTCTAACCCCGTCGAAAACTCATACATTATTAATAATACTACGCTGGAGAGCGTCTCCACATTTAATGATTTGGGGGTAATATTCGACAGGGAATTATCCTTTTCTTTACATGTTGATACTATCATTCTGAGGGCGTTTAGGCTATTAGGATTCATAAAAAGAAGCACAAAGCATATACAAGACACTAAAGCAATAACATGTTTGTACAGTGGTTTGATCCGAAGTATTTTAGAGTATTGCAGTACTGTTTGGTCTCCGTCACAAGCTATTTATGTCAACCGAATTGAACGAGTTCAAAACAAATTTTGTAAATATTTGCTACTTAAGTTTCACTTTCCATATCGGGATTTATCGTATGAAACGAGACTGCTACTCTGTGGTATGCAAACTCTTGAACGGAGACGCAGGGATGCAATGTTACTTTTGCTCTACAAAATAATGAATGGAGACATTATTTGTGAAAAATTGTTATGCCAAGTAAATTTCGTTGTTCCGTTAAGGCATACTCGACAGTCACAACTATTCTTTGAGAAAACCCATCGTACAAACTATGGACAAAGAACTTTCATGAATAGGCTTTTGTGCAACTATAATAAGCACTATTCTCACTGTGATATTTTTAATTGTACGTTATTATCTGTTAAGAGGATGCTCGAATTTTAAAATTTTAGGTTGTTTCTTGTCTTGTATGGTGTAAGACTTTGTTTTTTAGACGTTAAATGTATTTTAAAATTTCTGAAGAGTTTTGATATTTATATATTCGGTTTTTTTTTTTATATGTATATACTTATACTTCAATTGTTGTTTTAGCTTTAAGACTGTGCCATTTGGAATTCATATTTCTGTAGTGTACTTAAGACAATAAATAAATAAATATATAAATTTTGAATCATCGTACTTACTTAATCGCAGGGTAAAACTGTGTATGTAAATTAAAATTTTTGTTCTGAATAAACTATTATTAAACAACAAAATCATGTAACTATCTCTTTTAAGCTTTCTGAGGCAAAATTAAATACCTAAAATTTATATTTATTTTGTTTCTATAAGAACCCCTTGCAATATACAAAATAACGCCACCCATGAGTAAATGTTTAAAATACAACTGACCAGTCAAATCTTTCATTTATTTCTTAATCCGATATGGGTGTAAATTGAGTGAATGACGTATAAATAAATGAACAAATGAAAAATCAATGTATTATGAATATTTAAATATATTTTTTACCAACATACTTTATTTAAAAGTACAGAAACAGTTATAAACTTGTCTATACTTTTGATGAAGAAGCACAAACTAAATTATGTTCATGTTCCGCAAATGTATTTAAATTTGTAGATGTCTTCGAAATTGAGAATTCTTGACGAACTTTCCAAATCGTCCTCACTTTCAAAAAAAGATTGTTGAGTCGGTATTTTCGTCATTACTTTCTTCACTGGAATCATTATTTAAATTTATAATAAAATCATCTAATACTTAATCAAGCAGTGGTTCTTTCTCCATATAATATCGTTTAATTTTTTTGGCATTTTCGCAACTATCTACTGAAAAATTATTTACAAAATCAACACAGTATTGGATGACTTTATTAAAACTAATTTCTATCACCTCTATACTGTTTTATTGCACCCCAAACTAATTATTGGATTAAGTTCGGGGTGATATGGTGACAATCTTAAAACGCCGAATCCATTTGATAAAAATATAATGTCTATTTTATATATTTTAAATTTTGGTTTATGAATTTTAATAATTTCATAAAGTTGAGGCTTTAGAAAATTGTCACCAAACGGAATTTTCCGTTTCGTTAGCCACTTCTGTATTACTGCTTTCCTTGTATTTAAGTTCGGCATGCTTAGGTGGTGCTGCGCAACGAAGGGTGTCATCAAGGATATTATGAAGGAAATATTTAGCGTCGGGAAGTAGGGCGGTGGGACGTGATAGCGACATAGGTCGTCGGGACAGATATAATGTAGGTTAGGTAGGAAATACTTAGGTGGTGGACGTGATAGCGTTCGGAACGTAGAAAGGTAGGGAAGTAGGGCGGCGGGACGTGACATCGTTCGGGTATTTAAACCCGTTTTAATGACTTTTGTGACGTCAATTTGTCGTAGATCCGGTGGAAACGAATTTGGGCGGATAAAAAAGGGGTGGTAGACTTATTATGTACCTTAAGAAATTCTCGGAATTTTGTGTCGAAATCGGTCTTAATATTCGAAAATGTTTTATTGATTATTACTTCGTGAAAAGAAATATGTTCTTGGAGGTTTCTGATCGAATTTTTCGGTTCTGTAATATTACAGACCCCGCGAACAGAAAGATTGTATCCTAGATAGGATTTAATTATCTAAAAGATTTTTCGTAAAATGAAGGAATTTGAATTTAATAAGAATGCAACTTTTCTTTACTAAAATGGAATTAATAAATTATGAAGGTATCTGGGAGAGGTATGTTACACAAGCATTGTTAATTTAATAAGAAAAAACTTAATAAACTAGAAATAAATCGGCTTGACATAAACACACTAACATGACCGCCATTGTTTAATTATTGTTATCGAGAATATTACCTACCTATTCTTATAGATCACAGCCATCTCTGTTATAAGAAAATAATCTTTCAAATTTAATTTTATATATTTTTTAATATCTATAAGCGCATTTGAATAAAAAACAATGCATGAAACCCGGACAGAAAGTTTTTTCGGACACCTGGCAAACTTCTCGTAGTCTCTTGAACAACTTCTGGTAGTCTCCTGAATAACTCAACTTTTCTTTATAACATAAACTACTATGTTAGTACAGATATAGTAAAAGTAGTATAATTATTATAAAACAGGAAAAAATTATATATTTTTTAACTTTTGCTTTGATAAATAACTATTTCCTTCCAAATGTATTTATTGGATTTTTTTTTAGTATAATCCTCGTACAAAATGCTCCCGAAAAGCTAGCAGCGCCACCGTCGTCACCTTACTTTCAGCGAGATATTAAGCTTCATGTTCCCGCCCAGGTGGTAACCGTAGCAGAGTATAATCAACCATCTTCAATAACGAACTCGAATTCACAAAACGAAATGCAAATGTGTTACGTTTTTGAAAATGAATGCAAGGTAATAATTTTGACATATTGATTTGTTTAGGTTTTTAAAGAATATAATCATCCATCTATCAGTGTATCTCAAATTGTTCTGTGTAACTTTTTATAACGGACTGTACTCAGCAACTTCGAACAGAATGTATGAATATTTTAAGCACATGGCATCTCTCTATATAAAAACTGTATGTCTAGATCAAAAGTTAAATCGACTAATTTCCGAGTATTTAAAAATCTAATTTTCGAATATTTTGAAAACCAATTAAATAATTTTCTTAAATTAAAATAAAGTTTATATAATATAGGTAGTTTACAAATATTTCAAGTAAATATTTTAAAAATCTTAAACAAATGTTTTAGAAATGTTTTTAAAATATTTTGAAATGCACTGATATGGTATCTATTTAGGAAATTAACATAACAAAATATTTTGAAAATACCTGTTTTCATGAATAAATATTTTATCAATATATGTAAATTATCTTGTATATAAGCTTTTTTAAATTACCATATGATTAAACGGTGTTTTAGGCTGGCAACATTTATTTAAAAATAAAATTAATAATTTTATATATCATCTCCATTAAATACATGCTATTTAGAAACACAATTTGTAAACAAAACATCTAAAGTAGTTCCAATGTCAAGTAAAGACGGCGCTGTGATCTTAATTTCAGATACCAAATACTATTTTGTTTCAGTTTCTTTAATTTTTTTATTATTAATTTTGTGTCGTATAATGTCGTATAATTTTTTTAAGGGGCGATGGTTCAAAAAGGTTTTGAAACCTTTAATCTAGACCTTTAAAAAATAGTTATTTTTGTGTGGCACTCTTAATAACAGTTTTAATATAAAATTATTTCACTTTGTTTTATGAATAAAAATTAATGCATTTTGCAATAAAAAAAATTTGGTTGACATCCTCCTCAAAGTTTCCAAACATTAGGTTAATGGAAGAAGTATTAAACAAGATAATAATTATTTGCAGAATAATTTGAAAATTCGGAAACAAATGTCAAAAATCCCCCTACGAATTATTAAGATCGTCCCCGAACCCCAAAGACAACTTGGAAATATGAGAAAAGGTTGTCGCCTCTAGGATTCGAACCCAGAAATCTTTGTTCTGTACACAAATGTCCATACCGCTAGATCATGACGACCTTGACTGTCGAGATTCCTAGACGACAATTTAATTTTCTAATTCGGGCCAAGTGCCGTTTCAATCTCGTTCTCAAATCTTCAAATACCTCTATACATCATCGGTATATATAAGAAATGCATTGATGCATACTGAGCCCATATTTTCGTCTGCGTGAGGTTCAATATTTTGGTCACCCGGCTACTATTATTTTTTAAATTTTATGTGACAATTCTGTCAAACTAATTATCAGTATATTTTTTAGTTATTGAGATTAAATATAAGTAAGAATAAATTATTTTTATGTGAAACCGATAAATCATTCTATGTTTATTTCGTCCACATTTACAAATAAATCTTAAATTTTAATCAATCTATATGAAAATAATTTAATCACAAGAATTAAAACTAAAATCGTGTCGCAATGGACGTGAGGACAAGGCGTTTGTCTAGTACGTGAGAAGCCCGAGTTCAAATCTGGACTGGGGACTAATTAAAATATTTTTTTTTGTTTTTCATGTTTATTCTGATGTCTGAGGTATAAATCCAGGATTGACAACTAAATATTTTTAAAATCTTTTTATTTTAATAACCCTTAAATTCAATTTTAAAATTTTGTAAATTTTCGTTAGTGGGTCGTAGAAAAAATATATTGTATAACCTAGTGGATTATCAGTATCGCACGACGTTGTGTTCAAATGTCGTCTTTGTGCGATATAACTATCACGACTCTTGTTATTACAAACTACTATCTCGATATTTTAGGTATATTACAAAAACTTAATCACTTTAAATACAAATTCAGTACCTAATTATTAATAATTATAATTTTTCTCGAGCAGTTTATAACGAAATTAAACAAAATGACATCGCAGTTCCGAGAAATAAGATAAATTCTAAATATAAATCGATTCAAATTTGGTTTTGCATTTTCGCCAAAATGTCATTTTAGAGATTTTATTAGTTTCTTTTGAGACACCCAGTATGTATAAAATGTTTATAGGTATCTTACTTATCCTATTACTTAAATAATGAATAGAAGAAATTATGTTCTTTTATAACTTTTCTTTTATACTTTTCATTTATAACAAAATGAAACTGAACACAATCAATTCATAACAAATATAAGGTTTGTTCCAACAGCACCTTTCTGATTTGTCTCTGACTGGTGTATGGATGCATTCGTAAACTAATCTCTGCGCATGTCAGTCCGTTTATTCGTCCGTTGTTTAAAATACAGTTATTTAGCTGTCTCGAACGCTCTATGTGAATGTATAATTTTGAAACCTTAAGATGTTTATTTTTATTAAAAATAAGTACGTCACCTGCTAATCTGAGTGAGCTTCGTCCCATAACTATTCTCCCGGTTCTCTCGAAAGTTTTGGAAAGAGTCGTAGAAATACAATTTAGAGAACATATCGAAAAATACAACATTCTTCCGTCTGTTCAATCTGGTTTCAGACAGGGTTATAGTTGTGGAACTGCTCTTCTCAATATAACAGATGATTTTTTTAGAGAACTCAATACAAAAAAGGTTGGTGTCTTAATTTTACTCGATTACAGTAAGACTTTCGATATGATCAACCACGAGTTATTCTTAGCCATTCTACATTTTATAGGATTGAGTTATACTGCGATAACTTTCTTTAATAATTATCTGACTGACAGAATACAAAAAGTAAATTATAACGGAGTATCGTCTGAAATTGGTAAAATATCACGAGGAGTGGCTCTAGGTTCCATTTTGGGTCCCCTCTTCTTCTATACAATATATACTTATAATTTTTCAGCAATATTAAAGCATTGCAAAGTGCACATGTATGCTGACGATACCCAGCTGTATAGATTCTTTCATAAAAATTATGAAATTTTATCGCTACAGGAAATAAATAATGATTTAAATACTCTAATAGAATTTTCGACCAAGCACAACTTAGTAATCAACACGAACAAGTCATCTGTCATATGTTTTGGTTTCAGTCCATCTAATAACATATCTGTAAACATAAATAACGTATCTTTACCCATAACAGAAAAAGCAAGAAATCTTGGCATAATATTTGATAATAAACTAAAGTTCTCTGATCATACTTCATATATTTTACAAAAATCTTATTATAAGCTAAAAACACTGTATCAAAGTAGACATTTGTTTAACAAAGAATTAAAAATTCAACTATGTGATTCTCTTGTTCTGAGTAATTCTAATTACTGTGATTACTTGTACGGACCCTGTCTCTCTGTAAATGATTCCAATAGAATACAAAAACTTCAAAATTCTTGCCTAAGGCTCATTTATGGAATAAAGAAATTTGAAAGGATTTCTCATACTCTAAAATCAGCTAAGTGGTTAAATATGCGAAGTCGCAGAAAACTTCATGCACTAACCCTGTTTCACAAAACAATAATGAAAAAATATCCACCATACCTTTATAACAAAATTATCTTCCGCACAGATATTCATAACAAGCATACTCGAAAGAAAAATGAAATTGATGTACCAAAACACAATACACAGCAGTTTAAGAACAGTTACTCATATCAAATATCGAAAGAATATAACAATGTTACAGATTCTCTAAAAAACCTTTCTATTACCTCTTTTAAGAGACGTCTATTCGTGAATATTTTCAATGACCAATGCAGAAATTTTGGAATTCAGTAATTTAATTTAGTAACTCAGGAATTTTGAAATTCAGGAATTTAAGAATTTAAAAATATAATAATTTAAAAACACTTAAAATTTAAGAATTTAAAAAATTAGAAATTCAAGAATGTAGAAATTAAGTAATCTAGGAGTTTTAAAATATGAAAATTTATAAAATGTTTAATGTATGCACAAATTTAAATTTAAAAAACAAATTTGGATAGCAAAGCTAAAACCTTTACATAAATAACTTAAAAAAAATTTTCAATCATTATCTGTGTTATTTACGTTCCTAGGTATCTACGCTCTTAAGTGGGCAAATTAATTATTTTTTTATTGTTTTTCCTCGGTACTCAGGCCTTTGAGGAAGAACAGCTTATGCTGATCAAAGGGCCTATTGACCTTCTTTCTCACTTAACATAAACGGATATTTATAAGGATATGTATGTAAAATGGAATTTGTACTACTTGTTTTCAAAGGTCAATAAAAATTATTATTATTATTATTATTATTATTATTATTATTATTATTATTATTATTATTATTATTATTATTATTATTATTATTATTATTATTATTATTATTATTATTATTATTATTATTATTATTATTATTATTATTATTATTATTATTTTACATAAAAAAGCCGTACACAAGATAAAAACAAAAATTATTCATTTCAATTGAAAGAAATAGAAACCCAAGCCACTCCAAGCTAAATTTAAAATCCCAACAATTACAAACAAATAGCACGAACGAGAAGAGACGTTCAAATGCGCATGTGCTGATAAATTGTACAAGCGATGAAGCTCTGATCGTTTTGAGAATCCGCCGATTCATTCATGTACGAAAATACATTGGAACGTTTTACTGATAGTTCATCGGATTATCTGTGGCTTTGTAGGAACGGACTAGTTTCAATTCGCATGCATCTGACGTCCTTCTGATGATCAGATTCGCTGTTGGAACAAACCTATTATTTCTTTTATCCGTCCACAAAATTATTTTCAAACTATGTACCTTACCAAGCGCTGAGAGACAAGTTCCGACAAATTATTTTTTCCATTTATCCAGCCAGCTCATTCACAAAAGGTTTGTTCTGGTTCTCAAAATGAAAACTGTTTTGAAACTGCGCCGGACCGTATGCGTAAAGGCAAAAAATCCCCGACTGTTTGAAATTGTTGGAAAACCAGAACACATAAAGGTGTTTTGTTTATTGTTTATTATAAT